AATTGTACATTCTGCTTTTCTCTTCACTCCGAAATAATGGCAATAGCATTTATACAGTGCTGCAGTACCCACACTGAGGCTGAGGGACCGATTCTGCTTTCCATTATTCAGGGGCACTGCTTCTGGTGAGGCAGATCAGAGTTTGAACAGTGAGCTGGAGCAATGAACTTCTACTATTCCCCGCTGTTTGACTGTGGGCAAAATAAAAGGCCATAATATATGATGCAGTCAGCCAAGAAAGCAATATTGCTCTGCCATGTGCACAGTCTACACCAAGACAAGTCCAGGATCTCATTTCTAAATTCCCGTAGGTACCTCATTTAAACCATCAGCCATAACCTGCTTCTCATTTTCAATACCGCTTGGTATTAGAGCTGCAGTGAACTGCTGGTGAGAGATTCTAATTCCTGCAAACAAGCCCCTGTAGGCTTGCAAGGAAAACACAGAGTTCCCCTCTTGGTTGCCTGCTAGGTTCCCATCTGGCTGTTTTAACTTTGCTATTGCTTTTAAATGTGCCTGTTTCTGCACACAAAGCTTTCAGCTCCACCTCAAGAGACTCCTGGGTTCTCTTAGCATCAGATTCTGACCAAAGTGTAGAGACACAGACTGGGTCCTCTTAACAAAAAGGAAGATCGTATTTCACATTACAGTATCTAAAAGATTAATTCCACTAACATGATCATTTCCTTGTGAAACACACTTCTTTCCATCTGGAATTTTCCATCAGGAGGACAAAGAGCCATAGAGTTACACACTACCTGAGAGGAAAGAGCAAAGAGTGTAAAAGATGACTGCAGAGATGCTTGCTGAGAGACGATAGAAGAAAAAACAGACTAGACAGCATTTTCAAATGCATCAAGAGGCTGCTTTTTTATTTTTTTTTCCCCTTCCACGTGAATTATGACCCCATGCTCTTGAATTTTGAACCATTTCGTTTGTCAGGTTTTTGATACACGGAATTTAGGATATTTGGCTGCAGGAGCTTTCTGTATCATGTTATTGTTAGGTAGTGTTTGTGCTACTGTAGTAACCACAGGCCCTGCTGTGCCTGAGGCTCTCAATAATCTCATGTAAGGGCTTGTTACTGAAAGATACCTGTCCCCATCTGGGCTATCGGCATAACACAGGCAGAGTTGTACCAGCCAGGAAGGTGCTAGCAAAAGGGAAAGAGGAAAGATGATTTGGATCCAACTAATGCCCTGCCAGACTTCTCTTGGGACTCCAGACATTAATATAATCTCTCTAGATCTCAGTTCCATCTTGAGGAAATGAGGGAACAACCACAGCAAAATGGCAGGAGGCCCTGTTACAGAAGTGAAAATTTGGGCTAGACAAATAGGTGGCTATTCAGTCTATGTTCATATTTAATGAAATAAAATATTTTTCTCAACCAGGAACAATTTCATATTGTTTTAATGTTTTAAAATATTTTATGCAACGTAGGAGAACAAATTCCAAAACAAAGTAACTGAATAGAAAAACGGGAATGGTATTTTTTTAAAATAACAAAATTAACTATTTCATATCTACAATACTGGAATGTTTGCATTTTTACTCCCAAAACTTTGCTGAGTTTTTTTCCCCTGGAATCTGCAGATGCAACACAAATCTGTTAAATGCTTTAGCCAATTCAAGTTACTGGGGGTTTGTATGGGTTTTCTTTTTTCCTTTCCTTTTCCTTTCCTTTCCTTTCCTTTCCTTTCCTTTCCTTTCCTTTCCTTTCCTTTCCTTTCCTTTCCTTTCCTTTCCTTTCCTTTCCTTTCCTTTCCTTTCTTTTTTCTTTTTTCTTTTCCTTTCTTTTCTTTTCCTTTCTTTTTTTTTTCCTTTCTTTTTTTTTTCCTTTCTTTTCCTTTTAGCCAGAGATGCTCAATATGAAATGGCAATTGTTTCCACCATAGAGAAAGGGGGAAAAAACCCCCAAAACAAACCAACAGAAAGCAACAACAAAAAAAACAAAGAAAAAGGCTTTACAGACTAGTATTCAAGTGTCTGGATAATGCTGGCGAGATACAAAGCTCCACTAGGTTGTTGTAGACAGGGTTCTGGCATGACTGGGTCCCTCAGAAGCTGCACCCAGCTGCATCCAGACAGCACTGAGTCACCCAGAGCCTTTCCTGGGTGCTCCCTGCAGCCAGGCAATGTCACCAACGGCCACATCCAGCCTGGACCTCCAGGGCAAGTCCTGGACCACTGGGGAAACTCAGGCTCCACAGCCCAGACAGGGAGCCAAGCTGGCCCTAGCCATTTGGGGTGTAGCCCAGTGCTCCAGGTGTTTGGGAAATGATACAGAATGACAAGACAGTTTTAAAGATTGTGTGTTACCTTCTATTTTGTGGATTGCCATTAAAATCTCTGTCCAGCCTCGAAAGTCTCCCATAAGTTGACTTTTTTTGTTTGTTCTGTTGTTTTACGTTTAAGCAGAAAAAAAAAAATAGGAGAGAAAGACAGGTAGAAAGAAAAAAGCTAATGAGATGGGTACAGTGTAAAAGAAAAGTAATCCTATCCAACTTGCATGGTCTAGATCTCTGCAGAAAATGTTAGTGACCTTGTAAGACAGAAATTTTTCCCTCAGGTACAGGGATTCCTGCCCTCCTGCTGTCACTGACTATTTCCAGCTAGAGCAGCTTCTGGGAGCCACCCAGAGGGAGAAGCTTAGAGAAATGTAATCAGTGGCAGCACTTTTGCTACCTCTGCAGTATCTTAAAGCAGAAGGTGGGGGGAAGCCTTCACTAAAGTCCCTGGCCTTCAATTAAAAATTTCATATTGCTTTCCTCATTAGTCTAATCATCTGCTATAGCTATTTCCAAGCTTACCCTGAAGGCCCTGCAGAGCAATCCAATTTCAAGGCCAGTGCAGTGCAGGCAGGAGCAGTGTTCTTGGGAGGAGCCATGCTGGTGTTGACACAAGGAGCTCACTTATCTGACATTAGGCATGTGAATGAAACAATGTTGGCACACCTTTTGGAAAGAGGATTGCTCTATGAAAAGGAGCTCTGTTGCACAGCATTTCCCTGGTTGCCAAGGCTAGAGTCACCTGTGAAGTGTCACGGGCACCAAAATTACTCAATTCTGGGAGAACCTCCTCAATATCAGGTCTTGAACAAGAGGCCATACAATTTCATTCTCTTTGCTGACCATCTCCGTTACTGTAACTAACTGAGAGGGTACAGTAGAAATTTAAAGCAGCAGGATCTAGCAGAAGTGAAAGTTTGGTACCCCTCTGCTCCACAGCTTCAGCCCTTAAGCATTCGCAGCAACTCAGAGTCAGCCACACTCCTTGAAAATGAGCCTGTGATCTTATGAATCTCCTGATGTAGAAGATGTATTATCTTATTCTTGATTTTCTTTTACTACTTCAGCTTAATGTTCTGTGTCGGTGAAAGTACAAACAGGTCATCATGAAGATGCTGGCAGTAGCTCTTGAGCACAGTGCATGACTTTCACAAGGCAGTAAAACTTGTAGGGCAATGAACATTATCTGTTTCTGTGCTATTCTTCATGCTAATCTGGGCTAGGATTGCACAACATACTCCCGTACCAAAGCTCTTAATCTCATATTATCTGCCCTGAAAAAATCGTAGGCTTTTATCTCTATATTTCTCTCTACTTCCCTGCAGTTCTTTTCCTCCACCATTAAAAGTAAAATCAGTCATTTTTTTTCTCCTATGTATCCCATCATTTTTATTGTGTTTTTCATATCTTGCTTATTAAGTAGTTACCCTAGGGAGACCTCTTTCTTATTGGAACGTACAAAAAGCTATAACTGCACTTAACATTTGTGGGGAAGAGGAGGGAGGAAGGGGCAAAGGAAACAAATTTAGACTGAGGTCACAAAAATAAATGTGTGTGTTCAGTAATATGCCTCACATCAACTCCACTTCTTTTTCTGTAAGCAAAAATATATTCTTCCTTGTTTTCTGTTTATTCCCCAAATCAACTTACACTGTTAAAAATAACATACATGGACAAAGTTGTTGTTTTAGAAGCAACATCCATATGGCTGCTGCTGCTGTGGGGCAGGGGACAGACCAGACGGCTTCAGACTGTGATCTCACAGACCTGTGATGGAGCCCTAGATGGGGTTCTCAACAGGACAACAACACCAGAACTTTAGCTCTATAGTTTCAGAAATGCTGTCTTTTCTCACATCCTGGGTAAGTACCCTGCCCCTCAGACAAGAGAAATGGCCCCTCTCTGGAGGAAAGTAGCTATCACATTATTTATACAAAGTGGAACAGCTCCCAGAGGAGAGATTGACACAGGCAAGCACAAGAATACCATCATAGCTAAGTGTCCAGGGATATTCAACTGAGAGAGAACAAACTAGTTCAAATCCTCTCAATTTCTCTTTCTATACATACAGACATTTATATATATTTATGTTTCTATATGCACATGAAAATCCTTTGCTGTGTATACATGTATGTATGTACATGTGTATGTATGTGTAGGTGTGTTTAAATACATCATTTATAAATGAAATAAAATTGTATGTTCACACTGTTTATATGTTTATATGTGTGTACACATACACCATACAGATGACTCTCACATACACATCTTGAGGTTTTCTCCTTGGCCCTAGAAGCTTTCTAAGTATCAGTCAGTTTAATGATGTATTCAAAAACTTCTGGTTTTAACTAATCAGAATCAAGTGTACACAAATACTCTGGTAGCTCTTAAGAAAAAAGAGAAATTATATCTGTGCCTACAAGATTCATCCAGTCTGCATTCAGGTGGTGCAGATGTTCTTTACCAATAGTGTTACTTGACAAGAAATTAAATCACATTATCTTGTGCTGCTTTCTCAGGGGAGAAATTACATGCCTGTAGAGCCCTATCCCTGAATCAGTCCTGCTCTCTGGATGCTTTTAGCAACACCTGCAGGCCCTGCTGCACAGACGAGTTCTAATAATGTAATCCTATTTGGAGGGTAATGAACAGGTCTACTTTCTAGGGAATAATATTTCTGTATGAAAATTTCCTTTCAATTCATTTCAGAAAAGCTGTCTCTGATACAGCCTGAGTGCATACAAAGGAACAGCAAGATGCCTCACACCAGATACTCTTCATCTCTGACCAGCAGCACTTCCTATGAAACACCGGCACTATCAGACCTCCAGCAGCTCCTGTGGCTCAGAGGAGGAGCTGATAATCATGTGGACCAAGTCTGGCCAAATATCTACCTGGGAGATGAGTAAGAACATGTGGGCCTATTGTTAAGCTGTTATCAGTCCCTGGGAAGAGGAATGGAAAGGGTGTGGTACACTGGGGAGCAGCTTTTGGAATCTTCAGAAATGTTTTTGTGATACAGGCTTCCAAAACGGATGATGTAAAGAGCTTGGATGTCAAGAAAAACATGACATGCAAAATCATGGCTTACTCATAGCGTGTCTGACTTGGTTTTTTATGTTCTTTGATCCACCATGGATTTGGCAGGGTAAAAATTATTTGTATTCTAGACTAAAGTCCTCAAAGAACCTATGCCAAATCCATGTAAATTCTGAGATGCATTATGTGGCCTGGAAACTCTTCTCTAAGGCAGCAGACAAGAGGCCAGTAGCCTTAACCCTCAAACAGGGATAGCAAGATTAAGATCCAGAAAGAGGAAGACCCAAATCAATTGTATAATAGTCATCTTGACATTCCAAACCCAAGCTTTCTTTCAAAGATGATAAAACTGAAAATATCAAACAGGAATTTTCATGCAAATACCTTATTCTTGTGACCAAAAATACTTATTGCTATTTCCTTCCAATTGGATTACTGCAGATTACCTGGATCATTAGCTCATTTTTCCCAGCTCCTCCTCCTCACGAATATATCAGTTAAGGTTCGGAATTTTGTAAAATGCCTATAGTCCTAGTTTATGGCAGGAAGTGGGGCTGTTCTAGCTGGTGAACACAACACATCGACTTCATGTCCAAACCAGGAACAAGGTGTTGCTGCATCTGTGTGAGTTCTTACTCTTGAGACCAGGCACATTATCAGTGAGAGATTAGCTCTAAAAGTTCCTAAACAAATATTTAAGGAAAACCTTGACCATTTCATACAGTAAGCCATGTTCGCAGGGATTAACTGCTGGGAGGCATTTGCTTAACTGACAGTATCCCACTGGCAAGTTTGTGCTCCCGCTGCTCTCCACACCTCCATATCACATTTTTCATGTGCAAAGCACTATGTGCTTCTTGAAATTTGCTCCTCTGAAAGCAGGATGCAGTTCCTGCATCCTTCCGTAGTGGGAGCAGGCACTAACTTTAAACCATGCTATTTTTGCAGAATGTTAGGAACGTTGCCAATGTGCCCTTCATGTCTTTCAACAGGTGGGCTGCCAGGAGCAAAACTACACTTCAAAGCCTCAACATTACTCATATCCTTAATGCAGCAGATGGACCATGTAGCATCAACACGGGAGCCAAATATTATGCAGATCTGCAAATAGAGTACTATGGAGTAGAAGCATTTGATGATCCTTCCTTCAATATAAGTGTCTTCTTCTATGATGCTGCCAATTTCATAGGCAAGGCCTTAAACTCTTCAGGAGGTAAGAGAGAAGCAAAGATAAGCTTTGTGAGGAAATTTCAACACAAGCCAAATGACTTTTCATTGCAGTAACAGTCACCAACAGAGCTTAGAATCAGCATATGGTTCAAGGCAGCACATACAGAACCACTGAGCAGAGGATGGAGAAGGGTGCCTATGCCATGTGCTGCAGGGAAGGTGGCTGTGCCAGGTCCCCAGGCATTGCAGAAGACTGGCTGCCCCCAGCCCAGCATGGTGGAAAGAGGGGCAAGCTCTGGGACCAGAGTGTAGAGGGAAGGGGAGAGGTTATGGCACTGCAGATGCTGTCCTATGGGCCCATCCTGTAGGAATCAGCAGGATCTGTGTGCTTCCACACATCCCTCCCACCCCTTGCACACTGACAGGGGCTCCAGCTGGGGATCCTGCCCTGCATGCTGCTCCTGCTCCCTGTGGGAGCAGCAGCACTTCAGTGCTGGCTCGAATGCTTCACACGCTCAAGTACTTCACAGAATTGGAGCTTTATTCAGCCTGTCTATTAAGCTAGAGAAGCAGCAGAAGTTAATGAACTAAGTCAAAAACTACGAGCCTGACCTGCAGCCTGCTGAATTTTTGTCAGCAGAGTTTGGATTATGGCCTAGTTATCATAATTTCCATTTGTTCCAGAGTTTGCTCTGACTCTGGCTGCAGGATCTGCTGCTTTCACTGGAGTGCTTTATTAAATCCTCAGTTATAGCTCACACTGGGCTGCTGAGATACAGTAAATTACAACTCCATTTTTACAGGCAGACTATCCCACAGAGTTTGTGGGACTTGCCAGTGATCACAGTCAGGGCTGGGCCAAATTTTTCTGCCAAAACTTGTTTTTTTCCACAGAAAACTATACTAACAAGTTTAGTCACAGGAAGCTTCTCCTTCCACAAAAAAAATAGACTATTTCAATCTTAGGCCTAAATTAGATGCAGAAGGTCAATATGAAATACCACCTTGCCTGAGAGGTGATCTTCCTGAAAGCATGAAGCTCCACTAATTGTCACCACTGCTTTCTTAACCTGTTTCTACTGGCTTTTTTTTCTCCTCCCTTTGTCTTTTCCACTTTAGAAATGCTAAAGCACACTCACCTTATTGTGCCTTTTTGTTTGTGTAGGTAAGGTGTTAGTTCACTGTGCCATGGGAGTGAGCCGCTCAGCAACTTTAGTGCTTGCCTTTTTAATGATCCATGAAAACATGACACTTGTGGATGCTCTGAAGACAGTGAGTACTCGCAGAAACATCTGCCCAAATTCAGGGTTCCTCAGCCAGCTCCGGGACTTGGACATGAAACTGAATGAAGAGAGGAAAAGAGCCAGAGCATCTGCTATCAGAGGCCTGTAAGAGAGTATTGCTGCAAGAAAGAGGACAAAATCTTGAGTTGCCTGTATCTCTTATAGATGAACTGCATTTATAAATTTAGGACACAACTTTATGAGGCACCAGATGCATGCTATTAATAAAAGTAGACTTCACTTGATCTTTCAATTGTGCAAAGCTTTCCTAGATTTATATTTATGATTGGTTGTATACTCTATCCTTCACTCTCCACCTTAAAACATTGCTGTCTGCTAGTTTAAAAGAAGGAAAAAAAAAAAAGAGAAAGAAAAAAAAGAGAAAGAGATCAGGTTCCACTTCAGAAATAGCTGTGTTTCAGCAAGTAGTGAAGCTCATATCACTTTATGAAGTGTTAGGCTATTTGAGGTGAAAGATGCCATATTATTTATGCTACAGTAATGCTTAGAAGTTCTCTTATGAACCTCCCCCCACTCCACCCCTCACTCCCTGTGTCTCAGAGGGTTTGTATTTTGAGACTTGAACCTGGCACTGGTTAGTTCTTGCTTTTACAACTGGTGGAGCTCCTGAGTTGGGGTAAGAGGCTGTTTAAAGGCAGAGCAGCTGGGAAACAGCATAAGCCAGTCTAACAAATTATTCCAGGTATCTCTACAGGCTTTTCTTTTTGGCTGTTCATCAGAGCTTTTTTCCTCCATGAAAACATGTTTCCTTGAGAGGGCATTCAAATATTGTTCATCTTCCATACTAAAAATCAGCCAGGAAATGCTGCAGAAAATGTTTCTAAAGAAGAAGGTGGATTCTCAGCTAAGGCCGGTACAGGAAAATATTTGACAAAGTTCAATGTATACCAAATTTGTCTGTCAGTTCAAAATTACAAAACTTGGGATTTTCTTTCTCAAAAATAAAAGGTTATTAACATTGCAACATCATATTCTGTGGCATTTGCTTTTGTGAGGTGGACTGAAGTGAAAACTGAAGACACAGGAATGGCAAGGGAGGTGTTGACAGGAATCAGGCTTTCATCTTTGTGTCTCTGGGCCACCATAAGAGCACTCAATAGCTACTGTCATCTGATGGAACAGTGCTGCCTGGAAACTATGTGAAGCACATCTGGCTTTTGGTTCCCAGCGGACAAGCATTTGCAGCACAAAGCCAGCTCCAAAGCCAGCTGGGGATGGCAGTTTGTATTCCTACTACCAAACTCAGGAATGCAGAGGCATGAATACTCTGCACTATGTGAGCTGGCTACTCAAAGACAGCATAACAGCAAGGGAAAACATTCCTTGCCGTTTCCAGTATTGTCTACAAGGTTAATTTCTGCCTTCAGGATAGACAACTCAGCACCTTTTATAATGCTCTTAGGTGATATGTACATCTGCTCTGTGGTCCAGACTATAGGAGTCAGGGCACAAAGCAGAGTATTTGGCACTGACCACCACACCAGGGGTGTCTCAGGGGGTTTTACTCTGGACTACCCTGTAGATTAGACATCTCTGAGCAGCAGTAGAGCAGTACTGGGATACTTCCTTGCTTTAGTTCCCTGTGTGAGGAAACCTCCTCATGAGCTCTAGGGCTGATCTGCAAAGGCAACAAAACCTCAGCAAGGAGGAATAGCCAAATTAAAAGCATGCTTCAGATCCAAATCAAAATCTAATATACATGTTTCCGTTACCAATTAAATCTAACAAAGTCATTCAAACTTACAGAACAAGTCAGGGAAAAAAACACAGTGGATCTGTCTATAGAGATGCCCCCAGCCTCAAGCAGAACCACATTTTCTTATCCTTCCCCTTCTAGGAAGCAGGAAGGAGGCCAACCAGCCATTTTTGGGCTGGAGCAGAGCTGAGGAGTCGGTGGGGGTACTAGAACACGAGCACATTAAGTATATTTCACAGGATGCAAACTTACTGCGCTTTAAAAACACTGATTGGTACAACTGGAAATCTGCAGCTTACTCTAATGGCAAAAATGCTGTAAAAACAGCAAAGTAACACACAGAATGCAACCTCTCAGGCTGCGATGTCTCGTGCTCGGTTTTTCTCCCAAAGGCGCACCCCGCATCCCATCCCGC